TAAGTGAGACAATTTTGTGTGCATTTCAGTGTTTTGTGTATGAAAATGACCATCCGGTTCCGGAAACTGAATTTCCGTATATACGTGTAAATTTATATAGTAATTATTTCGTTTTGAATGAAAATCGTCCGGGAATATGTCCATGTGTTACTTGTTTGTGAAAAGTATAGTGAAAAACGGATGTGGGTTAAATCCTATTTCAAACAGTGTTGCCATGACAGAAACGCAAGTTCTGGGGTCAGAAAGTATTTGCTGCACATAAATATAGATACTCTCCGAAGGGTTATGTGACAAAAGGGATGTCTTCATCTTTCCATTTTAAAACACTATTCGAGCAGCTCCAGCCTTTGGTGTCTCCACGTCCTTTTAAGGTACAATCGAGCATCCTTTTTCTACAAAGATGTATAAGAGCTTCAAATTACTCTTGCTCCAATAGTTCGATCAACGTTGCAATAGTCAACTGCTTATTAAAGCTTCAACATGAATTATGGTAGACATATTGTGGATACTTCCAAATGTGACATATCTGTGACTAAAATGGCTTGAACCATATGCTCCCATGATTCCTCAGGTGAGCACTTAACTTGGCTGTGCATGTGTTTGTAACGGGTGCCGCCGGTGGTGCAGGTAACGCTCACTTTTTTCGGTACCAGCTGGTATCAGCCCTAACTGATAGCGATTAATAAACACATGCTTATGATACAGTCTGAATCGTACAGGACATTATTGCAAGAGGTTTGTCGCCTCCATTCAGAATACCAGACTGACTAACAGTAAAGATGTAAACATATATATACACTTTTGGACAACAATAGACAGACAAAGAGACAATGGCTTTGCCCTGGCCATGGGGCTTATGGATGTGATTACAGACACGGCCTTGGGGTAAATGGATTAAGGCTATAAATGTCATAATGTGAAATGCTGTGTTAAGACACTGGTACAACTGACCGCTGTTATGCATGGATTACATCATGTTGAATAGTCCAGATTTCCTAAACACTGTACACAAGGGATGTTGTTCAGAAGCTACAAGTGCTGTTAAGTCACTCTGTGACAGGACATTATTGCAAGAGGTTTCTCGCCCCCATTTATACTGATGTCGAGAGTGATATTTGTATACTAGGATTAATGTGTGCTGATGTGAGGTTATGTGTTGTGCGTGTTGAGAAGTAGGGTTAAGTTGGTTGGTTGTTTTACGCCGCTCTCGGCAATATTCCAGCTATATGACGGTGGTCTGTAAATAATCGAGTCTGAACCAGACAATCCAGTGATTGATATAATGAGCATCGATCCACGCAATTGGGACCGATGACATATATAAACCAAGTCAGCATGGGTTGCTGAAGACCTATTCTATCCCGGATCTTCACAGCTCTTGGTGCCGGAGAAGTGGAATGGTACCATTTCTTGGATTGATGTTTTGACTCCGGATCATAGACCCATGTTTCATCTCCCGTTAGAAATCTCGTTTTGAATTTGACGAAATCCTCCTCAATTATCTCTAAATCTTCTCTGGCAATGTCAGTTCGTTCTTCCTAAAGATCAGAATTTAGAAACCTTGGTACCTAAGGAGCAGATATCTTAATTATTCATCTGTAAAGATTCAATAGAATCCTGGCTTAGACCTGTGTCTTCCTCGAGTTCAGCAATGGTAATCCGTGTAAGTTTTTATACCCTTGATTAAATCTTCATTGATGGAAGTTGACATAGGGTCATCATCTAGGCTTGTTCTCCCATCCTTAAACATAGCTGCCCAACGTTTAACAAGCTAGGGCGATTATCCCAATACTCTGGTGACATACGGTCATGAATTTCTTGGGGAGTACTTTTCTCTGCAGTCAAAAACTGAATGACTGCAAGGTACTCGTTCTTTTCCATTTCTGTATCCATATCACGTTCAACTGGCTGTCACTAATATACAAACGACCTTAACAGACCAAATACACTTGCAATGAACTATTCAAACAATGTACTACATTGACTAGTTCACTTTGTTATGGCCCACAGTTGAAAGTTAGTCAGGCTTAGAACTTTGTGATCAGTCCTCGTATGCATTAAGAAACAAAGCACACTTAGCGACCTCGGGATAACCTACTTATTGCCTAAATGTCCTATCCTTCAATTTCACCTAAATGTTATCTACAAGGGAAGTCCATCATACTACACAAATTCCACATGCAGTATGTATAGTGTACGTGTTACACTTCTACCATAAACACACATTATGCTTAGTGAACATGGTATACCTACATCAGCCCATGACCCGTGAAGATCCGGGGTTGAAAAGGTCTTCAGCAACCCATGCCTGCCGTAAAAAGCGACTTTGCTTGTTCTTAGAGGTGACTAATTAATATACAAACGTTGAACAGACCAAATGATACACTTGCAAGGAAATACTCAAACAATGCACTACATTGACAAGTTCACTTTGTTAGCCAACTCTTGAAAGTTAGTTCAGCCTAGAACTTTTTTATCAGCCCTCATAGTGTTGATCTTGCTTCGCTAGTTCAAAAATGCATCGTGTTCTTCAGATCAAACTGGTTACATTCGCCAGCATAACTGGTTTGCCAGATTCAGCTGGAAAGACATTAAACTTGGCTTAAAACAAGGGAAATTGATCTCTTTGTCTTAGCTGGGAAGCTCAACATCAGAATCAGTCATACTTGTGGACGTCTGATACTGAGAAAGTGGCTTCACAATATCTTAGAAGAATGGACTACTTGAATAAAATATATATTGTACAGTGCAAGTGAATCTATCTACAATGTGTGAATCATACAGCTTAGATTTTCATTGTGAATCAAAAGAAAGTTCTGCTAATTCTCGTTAGGATTCCAGATCAGAATTGTCTGCCAGTAATTAACCAATGTATGTCGTAATGTGGACCATATGAATTGGTTGGTTAGTCTCGGTGACTTGGCTGAATGCTGTGGGACGTTGATCATAATATAAGGATGTGGTTTGTCTGGTCTGGAGTCGATTATTTAATTTCTCTGTCATGCAAATATTGCTGAATGAGTCATGAAGCAATGTTACGAACTGTTTAATTTTGTAAATTCTCTGAATATCTTGAACAGTCTCTTTCAGGGACAACATAAGACAACAGTAGCATAAGCGGGTTTTGATTTGTCTCTCGGTTATAATTTCATCGAACTAAATATAACCTGTTTAACCCATAAATGTACTAAAACACATACATGGTTCCCAGTAATTTCTATTCTCATCGCTACTTCGTGTCGACTGTAAAACCCAGGCTGAGTAAAAGTTGCCGGGGCGCTGATCACACGAACAAAGTGGCATCACATGTTCAGAGGAGATACTCCAGCATTTTCAATTATATCTAAGCTTAATAACGAATGCATATCGTATATCCAATTAAGTCAAGAATAAATATTTTTATACATTCAGGGTGGGAACTGTTGGATTAGAAATAGTGCCCATGCAAATATGTAAATAACTATTCATCATTAGTTGATTAAACTATTAGTTGATTAAATTCACTGATTATTACTTGTTATAAATGTTTTAATACATTCTGGGTGCGACCTAGTGGATTAGAAATAGAAAGTTATAGTTAATGATAAACTTGTCAAACTCTAGTGTCTCTGCAAATGTTGTAAGGAATATTCATGTGTTTTCTAGCGTCCAAATAGTTTATTAAATTCACTAATTATTACTATCTAAATACCTGATGCAGTTCACGGGGGTGCGGCAGTCTAGATTATGTACTCTCCTTAAAAGGAAATGCATTAATGATAGTAATACAGAAATAGAAATAGATTTCATTCAAATGCTACATGAAAATAAGCCTGCACGTATCCTTTTACTGATGAAGCGTCACAAGAACGGGGTTTTTTTGGTCTTAATATCGAGTTTTTATACTTGATACTTGATGACCTGGGACTGGAGAAATTGGGGGCACGGGTCGCCCAGTCGTCTTAGGCGCCGCGATTCGCTGTGCAGAGCGTCCCTCGGCTACGCCAGACACCTATGATTGTGGGTTCGAATCCCGGTTTGCCCCGATTATGTTCTTAGGTTTGTCAGCACCATGCCCGTGCTCGTGGGTTTCACCGAAGTGGAAAACGTCTCAGACCTGCATTACTTCAGGCTTTCCTCCCACATAACCTCTGAAGATTCTGGGGTAGAATAGGTCTTCAGCAACCCATGCTTCCGTAAAAGGTGACTATGCTTGTCGGAAAAGGCGACTAACGGGATCGGGTGGTCAGGCTCGCTGACTTGGTTGATGCATGTCATCGATCCCAAATGGGAGGATTGATGCTCATGATATTAATCACTGGATTGTCTGGTCCAGACTCGATTATTTACAGACCGCCGTCATATAGCTGGAATATTGCTGAGTGCGGCGTTAAACAACAAAACTAACCAACCAACCCACATTAAGCTGATACGCCGTGATATAACTCGAATACTGTTAAAAGCGGTGTTAATCCCAACTCAACTCACTCTCACAATTCTTTCTACAGGACTCGATAATAACGTGATAAATAACGCTCTTAATTCAACGTCTCCCTTATCTGTTCCTGTTAAAAACGTCTGTTTCGTTTTGTGATTCAGTTGAAAGAATTTGTCCCTGGTTTTTAGTCAGGGTTTTTACAGGACTCGATAATAACGTGATAAATAACGCTATTAATTCAACGTCTCCCTTCCTTCTCTGTTCCTGTTAAAAACGTCTGTTTCGTTTTGTGATTCAGTTGAAAGAATTTGTCCCTGGTTTCTAGTCAGGGTTTTTACAGGACTCGATAATAACGTGATAAATAACGCTCTTAATTCAACGTCTCCCTTATCTTTTAAAAACGTCTGTTTCGTTGTCATTCTGTTGCAAGCAACAGACCTTACGTGGGACAGTATATATTGACTTGTCATTTGGTTTTACAATGAGCATGATATCCATTTGATTTGTCCTTGGTATTAAAATATTATCATTAGATATGGGCTGTACCCTGAACGCATTTGCATAAAGCTGTGTACGATTAAACATGACAAAGGCAACCTGATATTTCATTTTCTATTTCTAGCCTAAAAATTAAAATTGTAAAGTACGGGAATGTTATCATTTTTGATTAAATTGGTTGCGTATTTAAGTGGATGAACATTCCCTGCAACCCAAATCTTCATCGTGATCTTCCACTTGAAGCACGCTGTCATGGAATCACTGGTCCTCTTAGTTTTTGGTAAGTTGTATTTTTTATTTCGCTTTATTGCATATAAGTTCTGTGTATAGTCATACTATAGGTGTGGACTGTACTGTGATCATCAACAGTGAAGGCATTTATACTAAACATTACGATAATGGTATTTACATGGGCATACCTGTCAAAGTTTACTACGTCCAAACCAAACAGAAGAGACGATAATATGATAGATGTTTAGGTCCAATAGATCATTGTAGAAACAGATCAAAACCGGATACAACGCTGATCAGATCATCCATGGATGCATATTGTTCTTGATACGTCCATATAACATGTGTTGATTCAATATTCTTTAAATGCAATGACGCACACACTTAATTAAATGTGATCCTATTGTTTACTAATTACATCTAACCTGTGAAGTATTAAAGCTTTGTTGTACTCATATTCAAAATAATTTTTTTGTATATTTGGCAGTATTTTTGTTGCAGAGATCACTATGAAAAAGACTATAAATAGTGTAAGACGACTATATGTTGTCAGTGTTTCTTGTAGCATTGGATGAGGCTAAATGTAATTAAATTATCATCACAATGTGCTGGTCACGACTGTTGATACATTAGACCAATAGTGACACAAGCAAGACATATTTCATTCAACAGTACTTGACAAATCTATTTCAGTTCTCGGCGCCGTGGGTGCAGATGTGAATTCAAACCGTATGTACAAACTCATTATTTGATGTTAAAAATATATATATCATCATAATAAGTTCAATATTGATCAAGGCTGGCAATTATTCACAGCCCATATTGTAATTATTATTATTATTATTATTATTATTATTATTATTATTATTATTGTTAGTGACAGATTAAAATAAATAAATGCAGTAAAGAAGATTTGGGTGATCCTGACACAGTCAGGGCACCTGTCCCTTCTACACGCATTTCAAAGGGCATGTTTGCCATGTTTTTTCCTGAATCTTGTCAATCACATTAGTTGTCAAAAGGGACAGAAAACTCAATGATATTAACAATTCATTGGATTTATTAAAAAGGACAAGGTCAGGTTTGTTGACCTGAATACATGTAACTTCATGACATCTGTTCTGTCATCGATTTAAATTTATTGAATTAGTACTCGTAAAACTTAATAACACAACCATCCGATATGAATTTTAATGCACCCAAAACTGTTACAATATGTAAGCATGACTGACATGTAGTGTCTATCTAATACAAATACATCATGGCTACCCGCCATTATTGAAAAATGCTGAATTGATATACCATAACTTCTACTACTGATCTAGAAATACACAATCAGTGTATTCAGACACCACTAGGAATTGCGTTCTAGAAATACACAATCAGTGTATTCAGACACCAATAGGAATTGCGTTCTAGAAATACACAATCAGTGTATTCAGACACCAATAGGAATTGCGTTCTAGAAATACACAATCAGTGTATTCAGACACCACTAGGAATTGCGTTCTAGAAATACACAATCAGTGTATTCAGACACCAGGAATTGCGTTCTAGAAATACACAATCAGTGTATTCAGGCACCACCAGGAATTGCGTTCTAGAAATACACAATCAGTGTATTCAGACACCAATAGGAATTGCGTTCTAGAAATACACAATCAGTGTATTCAGGCACCACTAGGAATTGCGTTCTAGAAATACACAATCAGTGTATTCAGACACCAATAGGAATTGCGTTCTAGAAATACACAATCAGTGTATTCAGACACCACTAGGAATTGCGTTCTAGAAATACACAATCAGTGTATTCAGACACCACCAGGAATTGCGTTCTAGAAATACACAATCAGTGTATTCAGGCACCAATAGGAATTGCGTTCTAGAAATACACAATCAGTGTATTCAGACACCAATAGGAATTGCGTTCTAGAAATACACAATCAGTGTATTCAGACACCACTAGGAATTGCGTTCTAGAAATACACAATCAGTGTATTCAGGCACCAATAGGAATTGCGTTCTAGAAATACACAATCAGTGTATTCAGGCACCAATAGGAATTGCATTCTAGAAATACACAATCAGTGTATTCAGGCACCAATAGGAATTGCGTTCTAGAAATACACAATCAGTGTATTCAGACACCACTAGGAATTGCGTTCTAGAAATACACAATCAGTGTATTCAGGCACCAATAGGATTTGCGTTCTAGAAATACACAATCAGTGTATTCAGGCACCACCAGGAATTGCGTTCTAGAAATACACAATCAGTGTATTCAGGCACCAATAGGAATTGCGTTCTAGAAAAACACAATCAGTGTATTCAGACACCACTAGGAATTGCGTTCTAGAAATACACAATCAGTGTATTCAGACACCAATAGGAATTGCGTTCTAGAAATACACAATCAGTGTATTCAGGCACCAATAGGAATTGCGTTCTAGAAATACACAATCAGTGTATTCAGGGACCACTAGGAATTGCGTTCTAGAAATACACAATCAGTGTATTCAGGCACCACCAGGAATTGCGTTCTAGAAATACACAATCAGTTTATTCAGGCACCACTAGGAATTGCGTTCTAGAAATACACAATCAGTGTATTCAGGGACCACTAGGAATTGCGTTCTAGAAATACACAATCAGTGTCTTCAGGGACCACTAGGAATTGCGTTCTAGAAATACACAATCAGTGTATTCAGGCACCACTAGGATTTGCATTCTAGAAATACACAATCTGTGTATTCAGGCACCACTAGGAATTGCGTTCTAGAAATACACAATCAGTGTCTTCAGGGACCACTAGGAATTGCGTTCTAGAAATACACAATCAGTGTATTCAGGGACCACTAGGAATTGCGTTCTAGAAATACACAATCAGTGTATTCAGGCACCACTAGGATTTGCATTCTAGAAATACACAATCAGTGTATTCAGGCACCAATAGGAATTGCGTTCTAGAAATACACAATCAGTGTATTCAGGCACCACTAGGAATTGCGTTCTAGAAATACACAATCAGTGTATTCAGGCACCACTAGGAATTGCGTTCTAGAAATACACAATCAGTGTATTCAGGCACCACTAGGAATTGCGTTCTAGAAATACACAATCAGTGTATTCAGGCACCACCAGGAATTGCGTTCTAGAAATACACAATCAGTGTATTCAGGCACCACTAGGAATTGCGTTCTAGAAATACACAATCAGTGTATTCAGGGACCACTAGGAATTGCGTTCTAGAAATACACAATCAGTGTATTCAGGCACCACCAGGAATTGCGTTCTAGAAATACACAATCAGTGTATTCAGGCACCACTAGGAATTGCGTTCTAGAAATACACAATCAGTGTATTCAGGCACCAATAGGAATTGCGTTCTAGAAATACACAATCAGTGTATTCAGGCACCACCAGGAATTGCGTTCTAGAAATACACAATCAGTGTATTCAGACACCAATAGGAATTGCGTTCTAGAAATACACAATCAATGTATTCAGGCACCACCAGGAATTGCGTTCTAGAAATACACAATCAGTGTATTCAGGCACCACCAGGAATTGCGTTCTAGAAATACACAATCAGTGTATTCAGACACCAATAGGAATTGCGTTCTAGAAATACACAATCTGTGTATTCAGGCACCACCAGGAATTGCGTTCTAGAAATACACAATCAGTGTATTCAGGCACCACTAGGAATTGCGTTCTAGAAATACACAATCAGTGTATTCAGGCACCAATAGGAATTGCGTTCTAGAAATACACAATCAGTGTATTCAGGCACCACTAGGATTTGCATTCTAGAAATACACAATCAGTGTATTCAGACACCACTAGGAATTGCGTTCTCATACACTCCCGAAACGGAAGACAGTTGATAACTGATACAAATGCGTTATAAGGAATGTCACACACATACGCGAATATAAGCCTTTGTCTATTAATTTCTTATTGATTAATATAGAACGGGTGCTGTATCCATGCAGATTGAAATACCCTTTTAAGAGTATGTCCATATCAAACTTTGTACTGTTAATAGATGTAACCAGTTACACCTTTCTAAATATAACATATACGTTCTGTGTATAGTCATACTATAGGTGTGGACTGTACTGCGATTATCAACAGTGAAGGCATTTATACTAAACATTATGATAATGGTATTTACATGGGCATACCTGCCAAAGTTTACTACGTCCAAACCAAACAGAAGAGACGATAATATGATGGATGTTTAGGTCCAATAGATCATTATAGAAACAGATCAAAACCGGATACAACGCTGATCAGATTACCCATGGATGCATATTGTTCTATACGTCCATATAACATGTGTTCATTGAATATTCTTTAAATGCAATGACGCACACTCTTAATTGAATGTTATGCCATTGAACAGTTAACTAATTTCTAATTACATCCAACATTACAAGTATAAAAGCTTTGTTGTACACATATTTGAAATATATTATTGTTTATTTGTCAGAATATTTGTTCAGAGATCACTATGAAATACGACTATAAAAAAGTATAAGATGACTATATGTTGTCAGTGTTCCACGTGGCATTGAATGGTGCAAATGCAACATTTGTAACCTCTTGCTGTGCATTTGGTTTCAGTGACATCAAATATACAAGTAACATTGCTATATATCGATAATATGGTGCGGTTATCTTTTCATTCTCTTCACAATGTCCTGGTCACGACTTGTGATATATTTGACCAATGGTGACACCAGCAAGGAATATTTTATTCAACAGTACTTGACAAATTTATTTCAGTTCCTGGTGCCGATACATTTGGTGGAGTGACAAATGACCGTATGTACAAACTCCTAATTGTATAACATAACTATATACGTAATAGTTATAAGTTCAATATTGATCAGGACTGGTAATTCTTCACAGCACATGTAGTTATTATCATTATTGAAAGGATTTCCTAATGACATCGTTCTTACTATTCTGGGGGCGGTCGGGTAGTCTAGTGGTTAAAGCATTCGCTCGTCATGCCGAAGACCCGGGTTCGATTCCCGACATGGGTACAATGTGTGAAGCCAATTTCTGGTGTCCCCCGCCGTGACATTGCTGGAATATTGCTAAAAGCGGTGTAAAACCATACTCACTCACTCACTCTTACTATTCTGTAGTAGGCTCGAGTTGTTGCCCTTGGGAGCCCAGAGCCGCGTCGATCATCGATCGTCGATCCTCGATCAACATAATATCTCTGTTGCTATCAGGTCCACAATCCGCTGATGACAGATTGAGAAATATGCAACATTTGGGGAACAGTTTACTGACGAGTGCCCTCTTTCAGCACGTTGCAAACGTTGCATGATCAATGCTGTTGCTTACTTGATTATTAGATTAATAATAAAGCGTCTTTGAGCGTTTGGTTCCTAGAAAACAATATGAGTCTGCTCACAACCGAGTCTGAGTGACACAATGTTGAATTTGTGTTTGATTTCTTCGGAAATGGTTTTGCCACATAAATCACACTTTCATTGCCAAACATTGGTATATTTTTCCATAGTTTCACCTCAAAAAGAAATCTCCCTTCTTGATTGCTGTCTGAATGGCTGTGCATATTAAAAGTTGATGAATTATGAGAACTCAATCAGAGCAATGATGTGCACAAAATAACATAACGATAGTTTCTCCTTTAGGATGTGACGGTGTAATAGCTAATGGCATATTTATGTATGTAATCATAACCAATTTAGGATCAAAGTGTATTATAGGCATCCTTTCTCATACACTGAGTATATTCTTTTGATGTTTCACTGCATCACATTTCATATAGTGTATCGATTGCAATCAATATTGCAATCATTGTGCTTTGATATTACTAATTATAAACATTTTTATATTTGAAACATTGTTTATTGAATGACATGCATATTATATATATTCAGGGCTCGATTATATAGCTAAGGACACTTTCCCTTCTTTGGAATCAGGTAAGCAGAAACACGATTTCATAAATATATATTAATTTACTTTTTCTGCTGTGCATATATCGGTAATCACTTAGTCAAAATAGTTGATGCACTGATTCCTCCTTAACTATGTGTACTATCTCCTTAACTATATAAAATTATTCAAAATGTTAAATTTACATGTTTAATAAACATGAAATTTACTTTCAGTTACAGTTAGAAATTTGAAAGTAACATGAAATATACATACAGTTACGGTGCTGTTGTAATGAGAAAACTGTTTAATTGTGTCCTCTGTTATTCTGTATATCAAAATAATACCAAGCTCTCAATTAACCAAAGAAATGTATTTATTTTAGTACCAGTACTTAACACCATTGGCCGTCACGCAGTTGAAAGTATGTACTAGAGATATACACTGGATGTGTAATGCTCACATCCATGCTTGTTTCAGTGATGCAATAACAACATTGATGTTTTAGAGATATGTGTCTTTTCTAAAACGTAAATCGTGGAATTATTCTATTGTTGTTGAGAACTGATATAAGAAACGAATAGCTACAGAACACATAGTTGTGTGAAATTAGAGACCTTGTAATATAGGCAGATGAAGAAAAATAACAATTCTTTGAAATCAAGTATCTCTATTCACTGTCATTGTCACTTCTCAATTTCAGGCGATTTTTTGGACTATAGAGTCGATGAGATCATTGCATGTAAGTAATGGAAACCTTTATATTACTCGCCCGTGAAGAGATCATCCGTTTAACAATAACATTGCGTGTCACAAAGGGGACATTATGCACACTCGATGACCTGAGCAACCCGGTTGCCAGGCTGACGTCAGATGGCATTGTTCACCGTCATAGGGTATTGTGATGTGATTGTAGACTTTGTGGACCAGGGTCCCGTTCCAGAAGGCGATCGTAGCGCAACGACAGCCCTAAGTCTATGTTTGTTTGTTTGTTGTTTAACGCCGCACTCAGCACTATTACAGTTACATGACGGCGGTATGAAATAATCGAGTCTGGACCAGACAATCCTGTGATTTATATCATGAGACTCGATCCACGCAATTGGGATACAATGACATGCATCAACCATTTGTTTGTTTGTTTGTTGTTTAACGCCGCACTCAGCAATATTCCAGCTATATGACGGCGGTCTGTAAATAATCGAGTCTGGACCAGACAATCCAGTGATAAATATCATGAGCATCGATCCACGCAATTGGGATCGATGACATGCATCAACCAAGTCAGGGTGCCTGACCACCCGATCCCGGTAGTCGCCTTTTACGAATAGCAGAGTCACCTTTTACGGCCAGCATGGGTTGCTGAAGACCTTTTCTACCCCGGATCTTCACGGGTCCACCCAAGCCAACGAGCCTTACTACCCTATCCCGTTAGTAGCCTATTACGATAAGCATGGACGTTTTCTTTACCGCAAGCATGGGTTGGTGAAGATGTACTCTAACCTGGATCTTCACGGGTCCCTAAGTCTATGAACAGCTCTGTGGAACAATCTTCTTAATTCTAAAGGTTGTGGGGTATTAAAATTAATATGTGTAATCTCTGACGTGTTTGAAGTATGATTCGGTTAATGCGGTGCATCGCGTAGATGTCTATCTATTTACAAACGACAGTGAAAATAGAAAAAAGGAAGTTATAAGCGGCAAAATGTGCGCATGTATTTTTTACGACATATGTCATCAGTCGGACTCTGTTCTGTCTTCGAACCGTCTCCGTGGTCTAGTGGTAAAGCGTCCACCCGGAGAGCGGAAGGTCCGGGGTTCGATCCCCGGCCGCGTCATACCAAAAGGCGTTAAAAGATGGTACTTGTCGTTACCCTGTCTGACGCTCGGCATTGAGGGGATAAGACAAGAACTGGTCGGCTCAGAGTCAGTAAACTGTGTCTGAGTGGGGTATTCATGTTAAACTGCGGCATGGTGTCTCAGTTGGCTAGCACTATAAATCAGTCCGGACTAGTACAAGCAGCCACACATACACGTGCATTCACGTCGCTATATCGGTTGCAATAATCTAGGACGCGACCTTAAACCTCATTTCACGTCACCTGTTCTGTCTTCAATGGATGAGGTAAATCACAGTTGCCTTTATTGTCTTTTGTGAAAAGGTTTCTTCTTCTCTATGCAAGATAATGGCTACAGATCGCCAAGGGAAGAAATTAAATATAATCAACTACTCCATTTCCATTGTCAAAAGCTACCACTGTACGATTCCAACTTATCATAAGTATGTGTTTATGAATCACTGTAGAAAACGACGATACTGCTCTGTTAGTAAACAGAGCAAACTCAAAAGATCTCGACATGAAGAGAAAGTTGACGGATTGAAAGTTGAAGTCATCCCCCTTGTCAAACATTCATGTGGATTCTTCATTCTAATTGCACGGCCGGTCAACGATTAAGTGTGACGTTAGTTTCGAGCATCCCCATCCTCACATAGCCTCCCCATCCTTGATGGCCAAATGGGTACCATGAGCCCCAACTGTGTCAGTCTCTGGGAAACTCATACTGCTGTGACACTGGACAAACCTACTTCACTAGAGGTTATCCTTTATACCATATCGTTCATCCTTCACGTCTTCACATCAAAACCATCAAATATACAATCAGCACACGTGTACAATTCGCAGAGGAATGAAGACAATAACTCGATTTTATTTGACGTTTCAGTCCTCGGGTTGTATGACGATCATCGTTTTGAGAGAGGTATGTACTGGCAAACTACATATATTTAAGCACAGGTAATTTGCATGATGTTGGCAAGTGTGTGTACTTGAAACCAGGTGTCACCATCAACAAAAGTAATACTTGCCAATAACACTCATTGTTATACATCTGTACCACCATCAATAAAAGTAACACTTCCAAATAACACTCATTGGCATAAATCTGTACCTTGTTCTTAAACAATACTTATTGATACATATTTCCAACGTTTTGTTCTTTCTATTCCAGTGATGACAAGCAGGGTCTGTGTGGAATGTAGGTATTAATAAAGAAGTATGTGTTAATTAAATGTTTCAACATCTTCAGTGAAGGTTTTATTCTCTGTTTACTTTTCTTACATAACAGTATACACAGTTTGTTTAAAACATACAGAATGTGAACAGAAACGAGACGATTTAAAAAAACACAATCAAGTTTCAACATTGTGTGCGAGGATGCGACAACATGAGTGTTGGCCTCGTGGTTAAAGCTCATCGAGCAGAGACAAAAGATCGATTCCCAATATGCTTCAAGAAGATTGGCGACTATTTCAAGTGTCACTCACTACCAAATGTTTTACACATGCAACATCTACATAATCCTCTTTGTCAAAAACTTTGGTACACTTTTTCCTTTGTGGTGTGGATCTGTAACATGATCTGTAATGCAGATGGACCCGTGAAGATCCGGGGTAGAAAAGGTCTTCAGCGACCCATGCTGGCCGTAAAAGGCGACTATGCTTGTCGATGGAGGCGACTAACGGGATCGGGTGGTCAGGCTCGCTGACTTGGTTGAAGCATGTCATCGATCCCCATTGCATGGATCGATCCTCATGTCAACCACTGGATTGCAGTGCAGCGTGAAACCACAAACAAATCTTCCAATTAAAACATATTTGAAATACGATTTTGTCATTATAAAGGGATTGTGCACAACCTGCACTGTATTTGATGAGGGAAAACATATTTTTCACTCGATTCTAGTTCACTTCAAAAGTGATAATACAGAGTGACTTAATGTATGTTATTCTATTGGTGTGTTTTAACTCTTACAGATCTTCAAGACATGGGGGCCGAGTATCGCAAAACATGTATGTTACCTAAAAAAAATCTATGATCATTTCATCGGAGGATATCTCATTCCTGAATTCAACCCAAATTAGTGTACTCTTCGTGTTCTAATCAATTCTCGAACGTGTGAATAGTTTCAATACGTACATTTTGTTATAGTTCAGGAAATCTTTGGAACTTTGTTTAAAGATTCTGAAAGGTGCAAGCTTACAAGACACGTATATGCACGCCATAGACATCAAATTGTAATCAAATATATGAATCGACTTATAATTTACTATCCACTGCATCAACTTTTCAGTCATGTTAATAACGTCCTTTATTTACTTCTTATTTTACAGTAATTTCACTTGACTTACCTGTTAAATCCGGTGTTACCGCTTTGGAACCAAATGGTATGTATTAATAGATGTGTTGCCTTTGTTTCCCACAATAACTTTCATCAGTTACAGGAGTACAGTTATTGTATTTAATAGCAACAGAAAAAAAGACCATCTATTACAAATTTAAATCTTCTCAATTGGTGTGTTTCAGGTAATAAAAGTCATTACATGTTTGATTATTTAAATGATAGACGTGCGACTTAGGTTACAGACTTGTCAGTCGAATATAGTATTTACATAATCTGTGATGTTAGCATTTCATAGACCCCTGTTAGTAGTGATAAATTATAGTAAGGCAAACCAGAAAGCTTCATCTAATTAACATTGTAATCTCTAGGTCTCAATTTTCTTCATCAGTTACCCATGACATTCCGTGTTGCCCATGTTGTTGTATTGAAGCGACTGGAAAATAAGCAGTTATCGAAGCAGCCAATGTTCAAACAGCATGGTAACAACTTCTGACAGTATTGATCATTTCGTTGGCTGATGGAACTAACACGCATTTCCTTTATTCATTTTGAAGATAGAATTATTGACAACCAAACTAATGACCTTAACGTACAACATATCCATGATTGTACGCCAGTTTATCGACATCGGTGTGCAATAGACAATAGATCAGTCAGTCAAATATAGTATTTAAATAATTATCTATGTAGGTAGTCTGGAAACATATAGAAAACTGTAGTAAGGCAAAATAGATAGCTTCATCTGACTGACAATGAAATCTCTTCGATCTATATTTTCTACTTTTGTTTGCCATCAGTAGATCATTCGGTGTTTCCTGCCTTGGTTGTGACCGGATATTTGTTGGAAGCAACTATGCCAATTCAGTATCTAATGAGTAGCCAATGTTCTCACAGCATGTTGTGGTGACAATATTCATCCTTTCTGTAGATGGTGGCTCTAACGCGCAATTCCTTCATCCATTTAGGGTCGCTTTTCATATAAAGTGTGACATGTGGTCCATTGCTAGTATCGTTATAGTTGTCACCCTATAAAAGCTAAATATGTTACTGTCAGTATCATTAAGGTAGAACACCTGGGGATGCACTTAGTGTACGTAACTGAAAAATTTGGAACTGGGCGAATTAAAAGTGTTTCCTAGAGATAACCCTGTTTTACTTTAGTAGCTGAATGGATGCAATCGTGCACAGTGGGAGTTCTTCCAGACACCAACGACTTATTTGCTTGGCCCTTATTCGAGTATTTACAAGTCGCCAATAGATAGTTTGACTGTGGTTTTGTATAACATTAAATTATAACTTACGTATGTAAAACATAGCATTATTCTGCTGATGACCTTCACGTACATTATAAATTTAAATAGTGAATATTTGCACATATCTGTTCTGTAGATTCGCCTGAAAGAAAAGTTATCTCAACCCTTTTACATAGATTTATATTTTGTTATTTCTGTTCTCTGACAGCATGCTGACAATCTATTGTGGTAGTATGTATACCTTCTATGCCCTTTCAGATCTAAAAGAAAACCAGAAAATCTTGGATGGTAAGTTTTGTTTGTTTGTTTGTTGTTTAAACCCGCTCTCAGCAATATTACAGCTTTATGATGGCAGTCTGTATATAATAGAGTCTGGACCAGACAATCCAGTGATTGAATTCAAGGGCATCGATCCACACAACAGGGATATGATGACATGCTTCAACCAAGTCAGCGAGCCTGACCTCCCGATCCCGTTAGTCGGCTCTAATGACAAGCGCAGTCGCCTTTTACGGTTGTTGTAGGCCTATTCTAGCCCGGATCTCCACGGGTCGTTAATAACTTGGTTGATGGTCACACCCATGGAATGTTGATATGACCATGAGATCAGAAGTCTGCAAAATATATCAAAAGGGACAGTTTGAAAATTATTTTGAAATTATAAACCGTCACAATGAATATTTTCAGAAAAGACCATGTGGGTCAATGCTACAATATTCACCTCACTCCTAGGATCGTATCAACTTGCAACATTTGTTTATAACCCAGATGTTACTGTGGATTTCATGATGCACTTCAGACTCGATTATTCACAGACCGCCATCATATAGCTGGAATATTGCTGAGTGCGGCGTTAAACAACTAACTGACCAATCAACCAACCAACCCACCAACAAACCTACTCAACCACTCACTCATTTGCCAGTGTGAACACGTCGCCATGATGTGGTTTGACTTTCATCTTAAACATCATTTATCTTATTTCTCTTATATAAATATGAACACAAACTTAAGTATGCATGTGTTCTGTTTTTCATATAACTGTGCGTTTCTTTTTTTGAAGAGTGTAACTGTACTGAAAATCACATTTGATCAAATGCTTTTGATCATATGTGACACCATCCCTTTGTCTCGCTTCTAAAGAGGACACTGGTTAAAACTATAAACTATGAAGGCAGTATGTCAAGTTTAAGTGATAGAAAATTATATTTTAAGATCCTAGCCCATTTTGTACACATTGCATTGTCAAAATGACAAGTCAGTGTTCTGCTCAAGCAAGACCAATCCAATGCTAATTAGAGTATGCTGAAATCACATTGAAATTAATCATTCATTTCAATATCCTTACTGTATTTTTATGGTTACAGTGCTTCGAGGCTTGGCACCCGAGGGCCGGATTACACGTAAGTATTAAATACCATAGCGAACAAAAATACTTCCATGACGCTATTCTGCCGATGACGTGAACGCACAATTTGTACATGATCGACGACCATTTTTCGTGTTAAACTGAATATTTACACTTGTTTCCTTTGTCGATTCATCAACATAAACTTATATTAGGAGGTTTGAGAAAATGTCTCCTGTAATTTAAACTCAAGAGATGATACAGCTGAACTCGTTAGTGATTTAATAAACCTGAATCTGGGACCTGATGCTAAAGCTCTCAAGGATGTATGAAATATTTGACAACGTATCCCTAATACAGTTCCCCACCTTCACACACTTCACTTACACATACCTTGGGAAAGTATTATGCTACATGTGGTGCTTCTTAATGAGGTGTCGGTAACAATAAAACATATAATGGAACTAAGAAAAGGGAATTGTAATGATTTACACCTTTATTCTATTTCAGTTATTAAAGCATTTGATACCAAACGACTCGCAAATGGTACGTACTTTTAGACAAGTCAGTTCCATCGTATGACATGTGACAACAATGTGTATGTTGTTTATTTGAGAGCCAACGGATGCATATCAGACCTTGACTTAAGTATCGTGCAAGTACATTGTACATGAATACATGGTATTGGACACATGTAACTTATATGGTCATAAGTGTAACTGTAATACTATGTGTACAAGTCTCTGAAAGGCATTTACAAGTGATACACATAAGGAAGAGAATTTATGGATGTCCACTTCTATGTTATGAGGAAAAAACATTTCGGAGTATATGCTTACTCCTTCATCGGGTGAATGAACGATATGAGGAAGAGAGTTGCATGATGTAGTGAGAAAGACAATTAAATTGATTCATTTGTGTATCCAGTTCTTGTAGCAGGAGGTGCTAAAGTCTACGAAGATCATTTGTGTAAGTATACACAAGTTAATTAGAATCTGGCTCTTATATTTTAGGTTTGTCCTCAACCTTAAAATAACAGAACGTTAAGCGTCCAAACGATAAAGTGATAAAACTTAGTTCTACACTGTTATAAATGTCGCCTTTAAAATGTACATTAAATGTATAATATTATGTATGTTATTTTGTAATAAAGCGACTTTATACATGAAAACTGGACGTTATGTTGGTGAGACATATTCCGTCATCAGGGGTATCAAGCGAATGTGGCGAACATTGTGCTGTTACTGTTAAGTGTACATATCATTCATATATTTAAAATGGGTCATCAGGGATGTGTGTGTTACTCTGACAACATGACCATCCCAAGTGCTGGATTTATTAATGTGGAACTTCTGATTCTAGCATTACCCACATCAGATTGGTTTCTATCAATAGTTCTCTCTTTCAGTTCAAGGAATAATCAAAGGACTAATAACAGGTACGACCGAATATAGATTTAGGTTTATTATCACACATATCTCTTGTTAAGTAGGGGCGGTCGGGTAGCTTAGTTGATAAAGCGTTCGCTCGTCACACCGAAGGCCTGGGTTCGATTCCCGACATGGGTACAATGTGTGAAGCCTATTTCTGGTGTCCACCTCCGTGATATTGCTGGAATAAAACCATTCTCACTCCCTAACTCACTTGTAAAGTAGTAGCGCACGGTTTTGTTGTCTTAAACCTAAACGTACATTCCCCATACAGAAGGCGTACAATACGCTCTCAAACGCAGTGAAATGCTAAAGTTAAGATCACGATCAAACGTAGCTTCAGAATGCTTTTAAAAAGGGATACAAGAGGTATTGAGACTTTCCTGCAGTTGCATATGCCATATCAGAAAAGGTGACTTAATTATAGGCAACACTTGGGACTTATCTCGCCTCGATGGTTCATAATAAACATCAAAACATTCATTATTAAATAAGAGACACTTTTCAATTATTGTTCCTTATTTCTTGTTTCAGTTTTTGGTGCCAACGATTTTGAAGGTACGTACACATACAACAAGTATGAAACATTATTCTGAAGCTACCGAATCTTCTAAGCAGTGATTAACCCAAGAATTTGTCAAAGTGGTATTGCTGTCCAATTGTATACACCTTTATAGACAAGTGACCCGTGGAGATCCGGAGTAGACTAGGTCTTCAGCAAACCCATGGCTGTCGTAAAAGGCAACTATGCTTGTCGTAAGGTGCGACCAATGGGATCAGGTGGTCAGTCTCGCTGACTTGGTTGATGCATGTCATCCTTTCCCAATTGCGTGGATCGATGTTCATGATGTCAGTCACTGGATTTTCTGATCCACACTCGATTATATACAGATCCCCGTTATATGGCTTGAATATTGCTGAGTGTGGTGTTAAACAACACACAAACAAACACTTCATTTGATGATTAAGAGAAAAAATGGCATATATTCAATAACACTTATTGACCTCAAAGATTGTCGTATTATTTAGGACAGAATATGTTTTTTGAAAATTTAAGAAGTCAGAGGCTATACAGTTTCGAATGTGTGATGAAACACATTTTTTTAGGATGATGAAGACAATATATAATAAGGACAATTGTAGGAACTGATCCCAACAAATCCATCTCTGAAACCGTCTATCGGTAGCATCGCCAACTCATTACAAATTTGATCGGAAGCATATCATGTATGGAACGCTACATTTGATTTGCTCTTTTTCAGAATAAATGATCAGCTGGACACGATAGTTACCTCGTGATGCCATTGGAACTGTCCTTGTAAACTGACAGTAGTAAACGTCCTAAGGACACAAACGGAAAACGCTTTTGTTGTAATTTAATTGAATCTAAAATACTTTTTTTAAAAAACACAGGGGAGATTGGTTAGCCTAGTGGTTAAAGCGTTCACTCGTCACGCCGAAAACCAGGATTCGTTTCCACAAATAACTACAAATGTGAAGCTCATTTCTGGTGTCCCACTCCATGATAAAGCTTGAATATTGGTAACAGTGGCGCAAAGCCATACTCTCACACTCAAATACTCTCCCTCACACCTCACTCACTCAAAAACATAGTGGGACAAACGATATTCATCATCGAAAAAAAAACCTTACACTCACAGATCCACCAATCAAACTATATTCATGATACCTGGAAGGTCGGAGACGAGTCCCGTTAATCAGAAAAATGTTCATCCCACATTCGGTTTTATCCGATACTAGTGATGGGAACGATTAGATCACTGCGATTTAGACCCGTTTATCCGACAGTCTCACACTTCGACTCCGCCACAGCTAATTTGCAAAGGAATACCGAAATCACGTATTAATCCGACAGTGAACAGCTTACTCCGTGGTCATTTGACCGCGAGGACAGAGCCCGTGTTTCGATGCGAGACGAGTCGGCTAGTGGCTGCAGGGTATCCTCCCAAAACGTAGACCTGCCAAAACGCAGACCCGTTAAAACAACACTCGTTATGGCTGGTTGCATCAGTAATGAGTACCCTGTACCCTTAAGTAAAATGGTATCACCCATGTAACAAGAAAGAAAGCTGGGTAGAGTTCACAATTTTTTATTCAAATGTTATTTCATTGTCATGTATGATTATCAGTCATGGGAGGGAACCGGCTGCAGAGATTCTTGCCTATCAATAAACAATTACTCGTTAAAGATTTTCTAAGAAATCATGTACGTATTCAAATACTCAACATGGTCATATCTTTTGGGTCATGGTTTCAGTGTTTAATGTATTAGTGCGTCCACATATTTTCAAACGCCACACGGAACAGCACTAAATGCAATTCGCCGCCATTATTTTTTAAACATAATGAATATATGCTGTATACTTATGGCTTGTAGAAAATTCCTTCCACCTTCTTAGGTTTTACATATCCGAACAAGTGCACTTCTGAACACACAATGACATTTAGAAAGTGTTCAAATGTAACAAATGTTATAATTGGGATAACATTTTCTTTGTAAAGTACAGATTCTCGTACCTTTTTGGGTCGAGTCTCGGTTTCGAGCCTACACTGCCAGACTGAGGCACCTAATCGCCAGCACACAAAGTCAGCTATCTAATCCACTCAACAACCGAGTTTCCCACAAAAATGAAAGTCCGACAACTGGTGGTCTAGATCACGTACTTTGTGTACCCCTCTGACAAGTGTAAAGTGTTATCCAAAACATAACATTTATTAAGTGCATTTCTGTACTCAAGGAGGCTTAAAATTCCCCTCTGTAGAAGTACATGGTTTATAACATCTATACACATCAAATCAATACATTTGTATGTAGTAAAGTAGTTACATGTGTATGTAGTAGAGTAGTTACATTTGTATGTAGTAAAGCAGTTATATGTGTATGTAGTAGCGTAGTTACATTTGTATGTAGTAAAGCAGTTATATGTGTATGTAGTAGAGTAGTTACATTTGTATGTAGTAAAGCAGTTATATGTGTATGTAGTAGAGTAGTTACATTTGTATGTGGTAAAGTAGTTATATGTGTATGTAGTAGAGTAGTTACATTTGTATGTAGTAGAGTAGTTATATGTAATAGACTAGTTACAGTTGTATGTGGTATGCAGTGGACATTTGAGTGAAGTACTTCAGTGTAAATCTTGTAAAGCTGACATCAATACGTACAATTCATACATATGAGGATCAAGAATACTTGTCAGGTCTTTGAAAGGCATTTAGAAGTGATACACATAAGGAAGAGAATATATGGATGTCAACTTCTATATTATGAGGGAAAAAACATTTCGGAGTATATACAGAATCTCACCCGATCGCTTTTGATATTAAATATATCAACAAGAGTTGATAAAAGAGGAAAAATTCCGAGGCTTGCCGAGGATTTTTGCCACTTTTATCAACGAGTGTTGATATATTTGATATCAAAAGACACGAGGGTGAGATTTTATTTATCATCCAACATCATTCTTCCATCATTCTTCCAACTTTTTCAATTTGGAGACAGTAATTATCAGTGTCTTCGGTGTAAAAAGTACTGCTAACAGCTTCAGTAGCAGAGCCATTTGTGATGTCATTTGATTGTGACGTCATGGTAACCAGTGACGTCACAATGGTCTGCAAAGCATTGTGATGTAATTTCATTGCAGCGATCTCATCCAAGCGATATCTCCTGTGCGAGCCAGTTTTGGATGATAAATGCTTATTTACTCCTTCATTCACCTGATGACGGACATACCTGATGAAGGAGTAAGCGTATACTCCGAGACGTTGTGTTCTCATAATAAAGAAGGTGACATCAATATATTTTCTTCCTTTAGAATAATTGTGATTTGAATGAACTTGTTTCATTATGCCAACCGACAATCAAGAAAAAAGGAAACTCATATTCCGTCAAAAAACACTTATGAATATTGCTCGGCACTATTTAATAGTGCCTTAACGCCATGGGGCGGAAGAAGCAGTGATGACAACTATATGAATGGATCACTGGAAATCAGAAATCTGTCACACAAAGTGCCCGTGTTCGCGACAAAGTTCTTCTTTTCCACAAACTACGGTTTATATGGGTTCAATACACTGGGGTCGGAACGATTACTATTTCGCACGCAAACAGAAGTAGAAACAAGTTCATGATGTTCGAATGTAAACACAAAGTGATTTGCTTCTGAATGTGTTGATCTAAATCTACAAAACCCGTTCAATATCCAAAAGCCGTATGACACGCTTTGTAATCTTGGTAGAAAGAGCATGCTACATAATATCCCAAAAGTCGAAAGGAAACAAACAACAAAGAAACAACAAATGGCATACACGTACCCTTGTCATACACAAATATTGCCATCAATAGTATTTCACTGGAGTAGTGTAATTTTGAACACAAACTTTTAAACCGGGACATAAGCAATACCAAAATTAATTGCACTTTTCCTACTTAGACCCTGTGGTTTGAAATAAACTTATTTTAAAATGGATGAGCAAAATGTGTTTTCACCATAGGAAAATAAAATAACACCCTATTATAAGTATATTTGTATAGTTGTTGCAGGGTCGGTCGGGTAGTCTAATGGTTAAAGCGTTTGCTCGTGACGCCGAAGACCCGGGTTCGATTCCCGCCATGGGTACAATGTGTGAAGCCCATTTCTGGTGTCTCCCGCCGTGATATTGCTAAAAACGGCGTAAAACCATACTCACTCACTACAAGTTGTTGCAAATCCTTGTCTAAATTCCGCTTAAGCTTCAGTTTTCCTTCAGTGCGATGTACTGTGACATCATAAAGTGGTCTATAGGTGTAAACACTTTTGATGATACATCTGTGTGTTTGAAGTTGATTTTGACAACCCGGGCCAAGTCGGACCGAACACAGACCAATCACTTCTGATAGAGACTATGTTGAGAATGTAGAGGGAAAACGGCTTCAATTTGAGCACCGTGTTTTCTTTAACTACCGCAATATGAGACACTAAAGTGATATATAGGTAGAAATAATACCTGTCTATAGATGTAAAGTATGTTTTGTAACTTTAGAAGTGCTAGGACAGTTATTAACACGTGTCGTGTCAGCCCTATGACATTCGCGAATATCCACTTCCAGAAAACATCCTGTGTTGGTTTAACATGAATTAGTAAAGGTTAATTACGGATGCCAAACACGTTAATTAATGAAAGAATAGTAGTCAAACCACTGTCATTTCAGCCCAGGACATCACACCCCTACACGCTAAGGTCGGTGAGAAACATTCTCATCAAAGAAAACACACAGTCAAGACACTAGCATTTCTATGTTGGTAAAGATGCATTTTGATTCAAACTCAATTAGTTGAGCAAAACTATACGTTTGTGGACATTCGAGATCTGCCCAGATATGCACGTTTCGTTTATTATTCTGCAATCCATTTTTAGTAATACCCGCTGGCCCGGCCCGGCCCGACTTTTCTTCGGCCGACTTTTGGGCAACCCCAAAAGGAAGTTGGCATCGCTGTGCCCGTCATGTCAATTACATATTGCACTTCCACAAATACAAATATATATTCATCTCACTCAACTAAGCGCTTCTAAAGTAGCGAAGAAAGCTGTGATTTTAACATTGCCTACAACAGTTGATAGATTTAATGAACCTAACTACCAAAAGCGGATCGTTTTGACATTCCAGGTTAGAATAGCATGGTGACCAAATGGATCCGGGGGGGGGGGGGGGGGGGGGGGAGGTGGTGTGTGTTATTGCATTCATTTCCCAATTAATGTAAAAACATATGCCACGCCCACCGAGGCTGACTACTTTTATAACTACAGAATGTCGGGGAATCCCAATATATTACAGTCGCGGGAATTCTGTCGTAACTGCCTTTGGGCGTCCAGTGCGACCCTGCTACAGTTACTTAATGTATTGCCGTTCCTGGTCCTTGTGGTCAATTAAGCCATAACATTGCCCTCGCCTTGTCCACCGCGGCTCGACCCTTACTCCAAGTTGTCTCTATCAGCATTCACACACGCATAATAAAGAAACGCAACACCAGTTTATACTCACATAGTTTTACTTACTCTCAGCCCATCTATCAATACACGACAGGATCAGACCGGCCAGGCTCGTCACTAGCTGGGGGAAACTTAGAACGATCGGGATTCGACTCGATCGATTGCAAACCGCGCTCTCTTCTCCTAATGTTGAGGGTATCATTTTATAGTGTTCCAGCCTGGCCTGTCCTTGTCACATGTCTCAATACCTCCATTTGATTCGTTACAAGTTAGATCTGACCATGAACTCATGTGTGTCGTAATCGGAAAAATACCAGAGCCTACGTGCCATATTGCTCATCTCTCTTTTGATTTTGTGACACGCGTCC